CGCACTGGAAACATCGGTCAATTTTGAAACATTTGGTATTTTTGACATTTATCTTTTGGACCCTGATCGTGCAACTTTACGCACCAATACTTAATACAAGATGTGTGTCATGTGGCATATGTACATCATTTTTTACATACGTGCAAGACGAATATTTGAATTTTTCCAGCTAAGGTGACGATTAAATTAATAAATATTAACAACCGTATTGATAAAAATAACTATCAAAATCCAAACGAATATTATAACGAACAAGCAAAAAGTAATATAACAATTGAATATATAAGAATGGAACGCAAACTAAGCACAAGAATATAGCATAACAAAAGGCTTGTCTAAATAATATTTCTTTGGATTATGTAAGGAATCTATTTACAAACGGCGATAAGGAATCTAAGAGTGAATTACAAATGCTGAAGAAAGTTGCGGCACACCATAATAAAATATAGTTCCAATTGCCCTAGTCCAACTATGTATTGCGAATTGTATGTTATTGACTAAAATTAATGAGCACTTTATTTAAAGATTAGGGAATAATACAACAGAGCACACTATCACTAATCTAAATCCAATCGAACCTGAAAGACCGTACCGGGTCATTAATTTCAAATTAATAATATAAAGCAAATCTGATAAATGGTATTTTAGGTAATTACTGCTCATTCATTACTAAAATTGTAATTTACATATACAATGTGCATACTGAAATCTGAAGTCGATTATTGCCCTAATTATAAAGATTAGGAGAAAATTATACTTGTATTGTTCGATAATAGACAAATTTTAGATTCATTGTACCTGTTTAAGTCGACGTTATTTACATAATGGAATTAGGACCCTACTCAAGGGATTATTTTTGTTATATACCCACTTCCTAATATTCTTAGAAAAAGCGCACGATAAAGAGCAGTTTAAAGGCGAAGCCTTGTTGTACTTTATGAAATTGAAAATGCCAAACAGTTTGATAATTATAAAATCGAAAAATTATGTTTTATTTTACAGAATGAGTTGCGAATTTCTAGTTTGCACTACCTTACAACGTGAAGGTACCAAGTTCGATCTCCGTGCCGATCTTGGGCCTTTTTGCTCTTCGGGGTCGACTTTGTCCAGAAATGAGTACCTGGGGTATGAATAGGCGGCTATGGTGCGTAATGGTAGCCACGATACCTCCCTGGAATTCATTCCAGTTATGGGCGATCTAAACTAAGTAATCCATACCCACTTATCCCGCGTAAAACCTCGTTAGCTGTTCTAATGCGGTGCTATTGTCCCATCCGCATCCGGGAACAGGACATTTGGGGGAAGTGAGGCGGCGCAACCGCCGAAACCGTGCCTATGCCCCATTCGAAGTACTCGAAGTACTCTCGAAGTAGTAGTCCAAGACTCGAAGTAGTCGTCGAAGTACTCGAAGTACCTTTCGAAGCAGTAGTCGAAGTACTCGAAGTAAAGTAGTGTACATTATTTGGGGAGGTGGACCAGTCTTGAAACTACCATTATAAATTTATTCCGGTGCAAATTTTTTGGGTGCGAATTGCCTGGGAACAAAATTTACAAAATATCTATGAGGGAGCGGAATATCCTAAAAGTAAAATGTGCGGGTGCAAAATCCAGGTGCAAAATGTCCAGGGTGCGAAATATCCTGTGTGGAAAATGTTCCGATGCGAATTATTCGGGTGCGATTATTCTGCCACAAATTGTTCACACACGATTCAAACACATTCCCGAAATCCGTTTCTAATAGCTAGTAGCAGGATTGGGATTGGGTAACATTTTTTTTGTAAAATTGGAGCAAATCTTCATTTGGTATTAGTTTTGTCTCCTAGAAGTACTCTTTTTCTGGAACTTGTGAGTGATTGAAAAGCTGTCACATCTGTCTGTTTGAGAATTCGTCTCCAGTTTTAGAATATAATTATAATGTTTAGCTTGATATAGGTGTGGACCAGACCACCATGCAGATTTTAATAACTTTGATACCTACAACGCACAGTAAAGCATTTTTCATAAATATGTATACGAAAAACACATGTTGGTGTGATTCTTTGTGTGATCATTGTGATCAATAATAGTTGGGTTTTTTTAGACAAAATGAATGTTGAAGTACACTTTGGGACGCGTGTAAGTATGCCAAAACTATCAATTTTACAAATTGTAGGATATTTTCTCTAGTTTAATTTTGTATACAAATGTTTTTATCGTAGCGTGAGTTAAGTAGGAGATATAGCTACTTATCAGTCCCCATTTTTTAAATATGGCGGCGCCAGCGATAAAGATAAGTGGTCGCAAAGTTAAAATTCGGAAAGAGCACATCTAAATCTATAAACTCCCCCATTTCCAAAACTCCCTGAAAACTTTCCAGGTACCTAACCTCTTTTTTTCGAACCAAATGACTGTCCCAATAAAGAAATTAAAAGAGGTAGACTAAGATCTGCCATTCCATCAACGATTTTGAAAAAAGAAACCCTTTTCAAAGAGTTTACTGTCGTGGACCGGTATTTTTTTCTATAAATTCATGGTGGACCGTTCCACTGTTATCGCTTCTTAGTCTTTTTGCATTTCTAACAATAAACATAAATGAAACTTAATTAAACAAGGTATTTATTCTGAAACATTAAAAATACTACATAGATGCATTTAAACTTGTTTGCTTTTGTTAAAAATAAAACCGGCACCGGTCCACGGATCACCACTTTGAGAAGCGCTGCTCTAGAACCTAGAGCATGTAAAAGATGGACAATATATATTGTTATGTTATGTATGAGGGACCTACCCAAATTAAGTAATTTTGAAATTATTTATTTTTCGGACTACACTTCTCCTGACTAACAAAATGAACGTTTGTCAATCCTCACCTTATCTCAAACACAGATGCCTCAACCCTATTTAATTAATTTTTCTTTTCCACTTTTATTCACCCTCCAGCACGGCGGCGCGAGCATGACCTGATAAAAAAAAAAAAACTGACACTCAATATCTCAAGTTTGGGTTCCAACAACTTCCTTCTCCAATTAAATAAAACTTCCTCTATTCTACACTAACCCTCAATGTTCCACCATCTATGATTGTCATCAAATAAACCTTCCTAACACAATTTTTAATTAGTTCAAAATTTCTTTTCTTTTTTTTCAATTTTTTTTTAAAATTAAATTCACACAGTAAAAACGGTAATTAAAAGTACTGACCTTTATTGTCTATTCCTCCGGGTTGCATTCCGAATCCCATCCTTATTTTCTTCAATGTCCAACACACCTTTATTTAAAAAAAAAAAAACTACAGTTCACCGTGCACGGCTATTATTTTATTTTTATCTTTCCGAAGCTCGTTCTTTTTCCACCTATTAAAAATCACACACACTCTCTCTCCTTCTTCCCGACGTCCTATTGCTCTTCCTTCTCAACTCCGATTCCCCATATCCAGTCCCATCGGAACTCCGGCATGCCTCCTAATCACTCTATCCCGACCACCTTTGTCCCCTTTGTTACCAGTATCTTCACCTTGATTGCTGTCTGCCTGACTTTTATCCTTGTAGAATGTTACTCAAACTTTATGCACAAATTTTCCAAATTAAATTACACATTTTCCTTGCTTACTTACTTAATTTTTATTTTAACATTTATTTTATTTTATTTTTTTATATAGGAACACAACACAACCAACCCAAACTCTCGATAGCACAAAAAAATATGACCACAAAAAATAGTATATTGAAAGACAAGTGTTACAATGCGACCTATTGTAATACGACTATCTTGTGGCACGAATGGCGACGCGAAGCGTAGCCACGAGTGTCCGCAAGATAGGAGTATTACAATAAAGCATTGTAACACGCATTTTTCATACTATTTTTTCTATTTCGGTGCTTTAATTTAATTAAAAAAATCATTATCAGAAACTATAGGGAACATTAGAACTAACATGTTTTATGTTGGGAACACTTTTTATGCCGTTAAGTTTTAGGTTGGCAGCGTAGTAAGACTGGCATTTTGAAGTTCAAACATGGAAGTACCCAACGAAATACCTCCTTGTACTAACTAGTAACTGCCAACTTAAGAGATGAGTTACCAAAAAAAAACGACTATAATCACTGTCTTTGTACAACTGTTTTCGGCCAAAAACAGTTGTACAAAATCATCATTGTGGTGACACCGAAATAGAAAAAAATCATTCCCACCCGTACGTACTTACGAGGCGTTCCAAAAGCAAAAAAAAATTGAAATTAAAATAACACGGCAATATTTGCAAAAGATGTAATGAACCGCTCGCTTTCGATTGTTGTCCTTTATTATTAACTTAGTTGACTTGTACAATAAATAATTTTTCAGTGCACTTTTATTGTTGTCATTATTTCATTAAACATATGAAGGAAAGGTTAATATGTGTAACGCTAACAAAAGAAAGATAAGAAAAGTCAGAGAAGTCATATTAAAAATATCTATGCCGAAAATGTGTTTGCGCTTTTTCTTCCCGAAATTGAAGTGTTAAATTAAATGCGTATTTAATGGTGTTATTGGTGTCCGACACTTAACAACCAAAATTTATTACTTCCTTATCGAAGTAATGGGCATACTTTATTGGGGATCAAATTTGGCATGGTGTCACAACTTGGGATAATGAGCGATTGGTCGAAATCGCGATTTGCCCGAGTTTGAGAGGTAAACGCTTTATCCTAATCGAATGTAATCGACCGCAGTGATAAGAATAGAGTATATCTGATATTTAAAAGATAAATTTAGTCTCATTTTAGAAGTAAACTATTAATTTATTTAAAAAGCCGGTTCGGATCAGTAGAGAGGGACCACGTGTTTCGGGTTGTTAGTAATTTAGAGTTTCGACAGTGGTCGTTCTATTTCGGCTTATTAGCAGGATGTTTCCGAATAAAGGATATCGCGTCCTTTTGAAAACCGGCATCTCGGCATCGTGAGTGCGCATGAACACGCACTGAAAACCTGCGCACATGTAGGTCTTGAACATGCTGCAGGAAAACGCTCAGTTTAATACAAACAAGCAGTTAGTGTACATCTGCTTGATTAACAATAAAGCTTAATCCCAATACCAAATGTTTATATTTTTATACCGGTAAACCATTTTCATACTTCGTCGTTTTTTATGTCTTAAGAACGTTGTTGCTCTTTGAACTTGAGGCTGACAGCCTTCGTGTACTAAAATCAACGACAATCAAGTTGGTTTTTCAACGTCGTTGCAAACTGTGAACTCTGGTGTCGCTTTATTGTGCTCAGTGATGCCTGCATCTTCTTGCTTATTTACCGAAATGGATCGATCGGGGGAGGATAATATAGAAACCCGCGCTTTTCAACTTGCTTACGAGCTTTCGATGCTAAGATTCCCCGATTCGGCAGCTTCAGTGTCGGAACCTGAAAGCCCTTCCGATTTCGGCCCTCTTCTCAACCCTCTCAGCACGATTGGTCTCGAAGAAACAAGGTCCAAGAAGTCGCAAAATATGACCGAATGCGTGCCGGTTCCCAGCTCCGAACACGTGGCGGAAATCGTTGGGAGACAAGGTAGAATAAAAATTTATTTCATTCTTTAGATTATAGGTGTAATGGCCTTTTTTTGTTCGACTTAATTGTGACTACTACAAAAAACCGTATGTACGTGTCATTGGGTTTAACAAACTTCGATTGCTGTATGGGGTATTTTTATGCGTGTCGAAGTTGACTGAGCCTTGGTCCTTATTACCTTTTATCAATCTTCCTAATTGTTGTTTAAGGTCAAGGCTTGTTAATATAGTGTGTTGTATGGGTTTCAAGGAGATTTAATTAAATAAAAACTGGACTCCTCAACGAATTTTTCCACACGTATTATTTATCGCTGAGCAATTGCAAATAAAAGTGGGTTACTTTGATAAAGGCGGTCTGGCTTACAAGGCTAGCAAAAAATGCACGTGTTTTGATAATGATTTTTGAGTGGGGCCTCTTATTTGTTGAAGCTAACAAAAATTACTGGAGCGTAATTAATGTTGCAAAAAGGTATTTGACGCGCGGCCAAAAATTATTTCAAACCGGTCGTAATTGCCTCTTGTCGTAATGGCCCTATAAAAGTAGGTATATCGCGTAATGTCATGCGGTTGTGTATACAAAGACCCAGGCCTCGACAGAGATCCGACAGGAAGCAGTTGTATTTATTTACTTTACACTACTATATAAGGCAATCGGTTATGTGTAATAATAATAACGCTTGTACCATGGGAAGTACTGACAAATTCATTGTTTATAAAATCTCAATTTACAGACGTGCCATCCTATACCTTTCATCCGCAGGATGTGGCGGTTACACTTTTTTAAGGGCCTACTTTGCAGATCGCAATTCAGCAATGATTCAATAAAACGGCGCCTAATCTTCTCACTTTTCATCCAAGGTTGGAAAAAATTGAAATTATTAAAATGTATTCGCCAAACGAGTTTATTGCCTCAATTAAATTCAATTTCCGTTGAGTTTTTCATAACATAAAAGTGTCCTACCAGTACCAACTGCTAACCGAATTCTGTTGGCGGGTATAATTCGTTAGAACAGCTGTATCTGCTTGCCACTTCGACCGTTGTCAATAATTGCGTATTTATATTCAGATAATGAAATTTTTTTTATTCGTACCCTGTAGCGTGAAAGTGCGGCGTTCACGCGCCTTACAACATTCCATTCTTAAAATATGTATCATACATTTTGTTATCTCACTTTAAGATTCCGTTAAACGTTCTTTAAAAAAACCGTAATGTTTTTTATCAATCGTTTAATGAGTTCTTAGAACCGAAGCCCATTGACTACATCTGTATTACCTCCTGCGACAAAAATGCGCTGCTTTGGGGACGTCAGCCTGTCTGTTACGGCGACTTCATTTAAATATGCTATACATAAATGGAAGAAGCGTTTCAGGAATAGTAACTTCTTGTTGTTTCCAAAGTCAGTTTCAGTGTTAAACCGACCGACACGACAAATCACTAATGCCAAAGGGTTTTCACATTTGAACATTGGTATTGCGTTCTTTATTTCTACTATAGGTATTATGTGCAATCAACTACTTTCCTTAAATTTACCTGGAATTCATTGAACTAATAAGCATTGAATTGTCATTACATTCACCAATTGGAAAAGTCAAAAGCAGTAGTGAATCCCCGAAAGATCCAGGCAATCTAGTACCATAATCAAAATTTTGACGTACATTTTTACACGATAAAACTTCCTAAATTACCTGGAACCTGGGAAAGCACCTCAAATTCGCAGGTATACTCGTACATACTTCAGAAGTAGTAAGTAAACTTAGGTATCGTCGGTGTAGGGCCAATATGTGGAACATACAATTGATTTCATATGGTAATGACCTGGTAGGCAAACAAATATGTAGGTACTAAATAAAAAAATTAATGTAGGTATTCTCTTATTTAAAAAATGCAACAAAAACGTCAAAAACTAAACATCAACGCTTCAATCACTTTCGCCAACTGTATGTTTGTATTATTTTCAGAAATCTTGCAGAAATCGTGAAATATTTAAGGCTGTCTGTCTGCCTGGGCACAATAAATCTACTAAACCATTTATCAAATCAACTTCGAGCTTTCTCTCCAGTAGAGATTGCTTTTCTGTTCTATGTTGTACAATATCCTGCCTGACAAACTTTCATGGTATGATGGGTGCATGGTGGATGGCTCAGTAAAACAAAGGTTTAAAAGATAAATTTGCTTCATTGGGGATACTGACCGTATGACGGGGGTGCGCGTCTCCAATGAAGAAAATGTAACTTTTTTTATTGCAAATAAAACCTTTTTACCACTCGCATGTTAGTAAACGGAGGTATTGCATTGGGGACTTCTTTTACGAAAATACACGTTTTCAAGCAGCATCCGAATCGAACAAAATTTCGATGATGTCTGTCGGTCTGTCTGTAAGTACTCTCATTTTCCGCCAAACGGCTGAACCGATTGGAACCAGATTTGGTACACATATATTCTTAGACATAAAAGGAAGAGGATGAAAAGCTCTTTTGGGCGGAATTGCGAATGCGCAACTGTGCCAAAGTAACAAAAAAAATTGTCATTTTTTGACGTTTTTCCCCCGGTTTTTCCATATTATGGCTAAAAACTTTTGCATCAAATTGAACCAAATTTGGTACATATGTTCAATAGAGGAGGAAACCACTAAGTCAATATTGTCAAAAGTTGAGGGTAATACGAGAGGTAATACGAAGGAATTATGAAGTAGTATGAGGAAATAAGGGGAAGTCCAAAGAAATATGGGGGCGAGGTAATATGGGGAAATACGAGGCAGTATTAAAAGAATCCAAGCAATATGAAGCCATGAAGGATGTCGGGGATGGGGATCTCGGAAACCATACAACAAAGAAGATACGACGATGGTCGAATTAAGGAAAAGTTGCGCAGTTAAATACTTATTATGTATGAGGCTTTAAAGAAAACCAAAAAATTCCGATTACTTTCGAAGATATGCCAGATAAACCGAAATTAGCCGACTTCGTTTTTCTTTTTTACGTGAGCAGTTACAGAAAAATAAAAAAGACTTTCTCATTGCCACTTTTTGAACTCTAGAATACAGCGTTTAGAGATTTTTAATACGTTTCGTTTCGGAGAAATCATCATCAACTTAATTTTTTTTAGTATGGCAAACAAAGAAAAAACAAGTTGGAAACTATTGGTTTTAACAGGATGGTGCAGCCGCGCACAACGCCTTAACCGTGCGAGAATACCTATCCGACAGATTCCCTGCAAATGGAAAATTTGTCAGATATGTATTCTCGCACGACTAAGGTGTTGTGCGCGAGTGCATCATCCTGTTGAAATCACCAGTTTCCTACTTGAGGAGGCAAGTTTTTACTTGTGCCCACCCTCTTTCAGCCCTTACGAGCCGCCACTGAAAAATTGTTGATAGCACTGAAAATTTTCATCCATCTAACGCGTAAATTGATCTATGTTGGAATTTTTTCGATTTTAACTTTTATCTCCTCATAGACTGTGCTTATGGTATAGGTTTCTTCCTCGGTGTTTACCCTACTTTTGAATCATTTCAGCTTCCAATCCATTTTGATAAGAAATTTGAATGTTTGAATGAGTAATCGTTTTGCATTTATTCTCAAGAAATTGAAGCAGCAAAATAAATTTGTGGGCGCATTTTTCCGAAATGAAGTGAGTATAGACGAATTCTTGGAGAAGGACAGGTTGAAAGGATGTGATTTTGAGGAAATAAAAAAAGCATTGGGAAAGTGGTGCAATGTTAAACGTTACTTTCGTATAATATGCTTGGGAAATTTAAGGCAGCACAAGAAATTTTGATGAAATTAGGAGAACGTGCAAGCGGTAATGTTTCAACAATTAAAAACTAACTCTTCTTTTACTAGATCTCTTACTTGCGTGTTCAATATATTTTGTTGTACACAAACTATGGCTCAAAAAATAGTAGTAGATACCAAAGCAGATAGTTCTTTCGAAATTTTCCCCAAAAAGGGAATTTTTCACCGAAATGTAAATGTTACACACTATATTTTTACATTTTAAATCTGACCGTTGTTTTTGGTAATTTATCCGAGGTTGGGCAAACAATTAGTTAAAGTTTATGTATCAATCTAGGTTGCAATGAATGGACCAAAATAGGTAGCTCTTCATTGAAATCACCGAGGACTTCACATACATTAGATCATTAGACAAGTAGGTAATTTTTTCTGTTAATATATCGGTTAATCATTAAAGAATGTTGTATTGCTGTGTGTCTATCGTCCGTCTGTTCGTATGTACGATAACTTCGTTTAGGCCCGATCGCTTTGAAAAATGGCACACTTGTTCTTAAGGATATAAGAAATGTTGCTATTGTTTTTCAGCTACGTAGACGCAGTCCAAAAAGTTACAGCCCAAAAACCATCTCGAGGATCGTTCAGTATTCAGCTATCGGGTTTTTAATTATTTTTTACCAACCCCCTATACATTATGGATAACAACATATCAAGTGTAAAATTCAAAAATTGCCTGTAGAACCCAAAACTGTAAAATTATACAGGGTGTACAAATTAAATTTTAATATCCATATCGCCCATTCTATCTAAAAAAAGTTACTGGATTGAGCGTGGTTTCGTGTACACTGTATGATGGAAAATAAAGAAACGGACTTACGAAAATATTTTTGTGGTGCCTAGGCAGGGGGTTTAGTATAGGGAATCACGAGTTGGTAGCTTTTGGCAAAATCTCAGACAAGAACATTTCAGTCAAAACTGAATGGAACGACGGACGGTTTTCGGAGATTCCCATTATATAAATTTTACCCTCTCTATAGATGTTGTGAGTTTTTTAATTTTAGTAGATTTCTTTAAAGATCAATTTGTTTTTAGAATTCTGTTTCATTATACAGATAAAAAATTGGAGGCGCAGAGGAGATCCAATTTACTACTTTAATTTTTGAATCCTGGATTGATTTGGAAAAAATCTGTTTTGGTCATTACCTTACGTACAGGTACATTTTGTTCAAAAATGGGTGTAGCTAATTTAACGTGTTGTATTTTGGGTGG